TGCGCCCACGGCCATGGCGCCCCCAGCCTGTGCTAAGGGCAGAGGCAAGCATCCCGGAGACTTCACCCCACAACCTTCTGAGTCTTGAGTCTTCGTTCTGTGCACTGTGACAAGGTACGAATCGACTCTTCTCAATTCAGCTTGAGTCCAAGTGCGTTACTGAGTGCCTGGCCTTCATGCATCACTAATTGCCTGGTGCTTTGCCTTCCTTACAGAGCAGGTAACGTGCGGAGCGCCGGGTCTTCTGGCATGTGGAGTTTGGCAGCCCAGAGGGACAGTGTTTGTTTGCGATTCTCTCAGAAGTGCACTCCTCTTCGGGGGATCCAGTCATGTCATGTTCATGTGGCATTCCCTATGCTATCTGTACTGCCTGTACCAACACCACATAGTGACATGCTGCCGGTATCACAAGATCTGCTGGCGGCACAGAGCTCTGATCACTGGAACCACAGGCACTTTGCGGGCATTTTCACCCTGCTGCTTCTGTTTAAAGGCAGAAGACCGAAGTCTTCACCATGCGGGCGCAACGCCACACAGGCTGTTGGCCACGTACACAGATCTTGTGATACGGCTGGGTTTCCAATCTCTATGGTCCTGGTGTGCTCTGGACTGTACAGCACTAGAGCAATGCACACTAGAGTGGCCACTGGTTAGCAAGAGCCTCCCCACTGTGGGCGGACCCACTGCTGAGCCCTGCATTGGACAGTACCTGGTTCCAGGGCTGCCTCTTCCATCTCCTGCAACAAAAAGCACAAGTAAGATGCTGCCCAGAGGCCCAGCCCCACTTCACCACCAACTTTCATGGGAACTAAGGGAGGATGGTCACCTCGGACTTCAGAGGACATCTTGGACCCAGAAAGGAGGCCCTGCTTGTACAAGGCAAGCTGCCCCAATGGCCTCAGCCTTACTTGGTCCCCAAACCCCCTGCTGACCCTGTTGCAGGGCTCCCAGCAGCTCTCCTGTCTTTCCATTGTGGTTTTCTCTGGACTGAACTGGAGATCACGGGCACGACTCTACATCTATCTCCACATATGTCTAACCGCCTAGCACAAACCCCTTGATACTCTCTTCACCTGAGGGAGCCTCCAGCTGACTTTTTGAAAATTTAGGACCAAGTGGAAATGGGCCATGACAGTTCTCCAACCCAGGTACTCCTAGTCTCCCTCAGCAATGACACAACTTGACCGAGGAACCCAGCTGTGCTCTGCCTTGTCCAACGTTGTCTTTTTCAGGCCAAGTGTGTGCCATGTTCCCCGGCTCCCCGCTGTACAGCCGACTTCCCATGCCCCGTGGGCTGCATGTGGCCACTACTTGAACTTAGGCTCTGCCTGTTGCTTCTAAGGGTCATATCCCCAAGGTACAAGGAGACATTCCACTCTGAATGCCAGTCAAGGATGTGAGCCCCTGTACTCCAGACATGAGCACAGGCATCACCGTTAGACAGGCCAAAGTGACAGAGGAAAGCCAAGTGTATGAGGTAAGGCCTGCGAGTGGGTCTGTACCCCAAGCTGGTACCCTGTGTATTCTTAGTAGGGAGGCTGCCTTCCTTCAAGAGCTGGAACAGTCATTCCTTTAGCTCTATTCCCTGGCATCCTGGCCCTGACTGGAGACTGCGTGCCCAAACTGAACACCTTGGGAGGCTGAGGGCGTGGCTGGATCGCCGACATGACCTGCCTGCATCGCAAAGTGAGCTCTAGAACTCGACAAAGCAGCAGCATGGCAGAGCGACACTCGAGGGGATGTCCTGCAGTGTGTCTCATTTTAACACATGAGCCTGTGGTCAAAAAGATGCTAAGACAGAGAAGGTGTTCCTTTCCGATGCACAGGCCCCAAGTGGGGGGCACCTCTGTGAAATAAAGACAACAGCTTGCCTAGATGCCACCTCTGCTCAAGTGGTGGCAGCCAGAAAATGACACACCAATGCATTCTTCCTCACCGCATTTCCCAGGAGGCCCAAGACCCATACGGACTCACCTCACCCTCTAGTCCTCACCTTGTTTTCTCTCCTGTTTTGAGTCAGGGTCTTACCATGTAGCCCTGGCTGGCCTGGAACACACTATATAGACCAGGGTGGCTTTGAGCTCAAAGAGATCTGCTGCATCTGCTGACTGAGTGCTGAGATTAAAGGTGTGTGCCACCACCCCTGGCTGGTTCTAAGGTTTAGTATTTGCACTGATGTCACCAGACACCACCATCACAGTCACCTGGGAAACTCGGGCAGTGTCTATGGAGCTGCCCACCCTTCCTTGTACTCCGTCTCAGGGAGACCCTATTCCATTGTCCTTCTCTAACAATGAATTTTCAGACTAGATGGCCCCCACAAAACACACAAAGCTTTGCCCCACAAGTATATACGTCTCCAGCCAAGTGAGGAGGCAGGTGCTGGCCACCGCTTCCAAAAACCAAGTAGGCCTTCAGGCTGCCATGTGGCTGTTGTTTGGGAAACCCCAACACTGGCCCTATACCCCTGGCCTCCATCTCATGTCAATGCTAATATCCCAAAACTCTGGAGGAAAATCAAAAGGGAAAAGGCTTACATCTAAACCAGTGTGCATCCTGCAATGCTAGGATGGGCCACAGGCCTCATTCTCACTTGGCAGCCATGGGGCAGCACTGGGCTTCAAACTACTTCTAAGCAGGTCCTCAGGCAAGACCCATTCTGCTCACAGCCAGAGCGCAGTGTGTCCTCCAGCTCTGCTAAGCTCAGACTAGGAGACAACTGAGGCTGCAGGTGTGTCCTCCAAAGCCTCCAGCACTCGCTGTCTGGGGAGGTGACTTTAGCTGGTGCAGCTGCTAAGCAAAAAGGTGGTATCTGAAAACCTGGGGCTACACTGAGTGCACAATTGAGATGTGACAATTTACCTGCAGGATGGTAAAGTCAGATGAGGATGTATCTACATTGTTAATGGCTTCTTTGTCGTCTATCTGTAGAAAGGGAGAACACAGTTTATAATGTCATAAGTGATGGAACAGTGCCACCCCAGTGTGGTGAGATGAAAGCCCTTGCCAAGACTCTCCAGGTGATCAAAACAGTAGGCCAGTGGCCATTCTTCCAGAACTTCTTCTAGAGCTGGGCTGCAGAGTGGATCCTGCTGCCCTCCACAGGTCTAGGTCTGGGTACTATGCAGCCAGGAATGCTAGACCTGGGTACCAGCTACCCAACCTCCTACTGCAGGAACAGGGGATGGATTAGTAGCCCAGCCATAAAGGTGAGGGACCTCCCACCCCCAAAGATGGGGCTCTTTACCCAGTCAGGACAGTCCAATGGTATATAACACATACACCGAAAATGCAAATGTCTTCTACCATGAGAGCCACATATAGCAAAGAGCATGCCAACTGCATGTACATCCGGCCTGCCTCTGTCACCCCCTGCCACGATGCTGTATTCACTGCTAGTATATTGGGTCTACTGTGTGTCTATTCAGTGGTAGCTGCTATGACAGGCATGGCTACCATCTGGGTCAGGGGTTGGCAAGCGTGCTTGGCTGTGAGGGTGGCTAGTCCTGGCTGTGACACTGACCTCTGGTCTGGCAATAGTAAGGGACAGTGACAGGTTCAGTTTCTTTATACACTTCAACCATGGACACAGGCACATGGCAAAGGCATAACACCAACCATTTACTTGTCAAACCTGGAGTTTTGGTGACCAAAGAAAGCCCAGAAGGGATTAACAGCCTGTTAAAGGTCACACACAATGGCACTTGGCGCACTGCACACTGGTGCTCTACTGCCACCCCAGTACCTTCACACTGTAACTGGCTCCTCACCAGCCAGTCAGCGTGCTCCCAAGCCCTGGCCGCCTGTGTTACTTCATGACAAGGAGCCCACTACTTGGGCAGTGCCTTTTTGAAACAGATTCTGAGACCTGGTTTGTACTCAAACAGTGCAAGATCAAGTCCTCCAACCGAAGCCAGTGTGCTGCCTGCGGGACAGGCTCAGTTCTCCCAGCAGAGGACAGAATGCTCACTGCAGAAAATCTGAGGTTCTGAGGCCAGTGACCCAATCAGGGGGCCAAAGAAACAGATGCTCCCAGGTCCTCACTTCCCACTTTCCTCTCTCCAGGCAGACATCAACCTTGTGCCCCTAAAATCCTACAGCACAGACTGCCTCAAGGCCTGGGAACTTGGTTTGCAGCGAATGCCTGGACTCTTACTCATCAACGCCTCATGTTACCTCAGAACGTTCCTGAATGCTTTACCAGGACTCTTTCCTCTAGCACCAGGATGACAGTGTCTGTGCCTGGGAATGCAACATAGCACTCAGTGTCCAACAAGCAGCCTACACCATCACAACCTTGCTAGGATCTCACACATATCTTATATGGAGAGGCTACATCAATACTGAGGACCTAGAGGGCAGCAGTCTGCTCTGAGCAGACACTGGTCACTCTGCTTGGCTGTACTCACACACCACAGCTCAGGCTCCTGTAAAAGACAGTCATCAGCAGCAGCTGTCCCTGCTACCGGCTGTCATGAACTCTGCACCAGGCCACCCAGTGCCCCACCCCGCACCAGCTGCTTACAGCATGCTCCTGCAGCTGCTCCGGGAGCCCCTTCAAGTCGCCTTCTACCAGCTCAGTGCTGTCTGCCAGGACCTCAGGGAGTGTGGCCTCCTCCTCTTCCTCCACACAGTCTGCCACACTTCCATTATCAATGTCAGCCTCGTCCAGCACACTGATGTCCATCATATCCATGTCTTGCAGGTTCTCCAGGCTGGTCTCCACGTCCTCCTGCAGCGCAGAGGGCACTGTCACGGCACACCGGCATCCCAGCGCTCCCTCTCCTCATCCACTCCACTGAAAAGTTGATGCATACCTGCCCATCCCCAGAATTCTCCTCGAGCCCGTTGTCCTCCATACCCTCGTCTTCTGGTTTCCTCCCTGAAGAGACAGCATGTAGGCATGAGGCCAATAGTCTGTGTCTTGAAAGCAAGTGCCTAAACTTCTGCAGGTGCCCAGCTCTGCAGCTCACTGAACAGGCCTGGCCTCTCACTCTAGCCAGGTCTTGGTGGGTCTCAGAGTACTGTGTTTGGGATACTTAGCATCAACTTGACAGAATGGAGAATCACCTGGGAGATGGGCCACAAGGGTACAAAAGATGCTCATACTGATTGGGCCAGCAAGAGGGCTCAGCAGAGAAAGGCACATGTCACTAAGGCTGACCACCTAAATTCAATCCCTAGAACTCATACAGTGGAAAGACCTGGCTTTAGTGTGCTTCTGACCACACAAGCATTCACAGCAAAACCAAAAATCAACAACAAAAGGAAACATAATAGGGATTGGAGAGGTGGCTCAGAGATTGGAGCACTGGCCGTTCAATTCCCAGGATGCATAACCACTGTTGCAACTCCAGTTTCAGATCAGATACCATCTTGGCTGTTCAGACCCTGCCTTGGGTTGCCTCCCCAGCTCTATCATCCCAGAGTTGAAGAGGCTAAGGCAGGAAGATATAAGTTAGAGGTTGCCTAGGCTACATACTGAGCCTGTCTCCAAAGCCCAAACCAACAAAGCAAATCAGCACTGCTTGGGCAACATCACCAGCCAGCTACCGTCCACCTCAGTGGTGCAATGAACCACAGCCAGCACTGCGGGGAGGTTCTGGACAAGGCATGTCATCTCTCACCTTCCAACTTCCTTGAGACAGGTTCTAATTACACAGATCAGGTTAGCCTGGAACTCAGAGACCCCCATGCTCAGCCTCCTGAGTACCGGGATTAACGTGTGAGCCTCTGTTTTAAGCCCCAGTTGGCCTTAAAACACTGCCACCAACAAATCCACTGATCTACTTATTTTTACATGCATGGATGTTTTGCTGACAAGAATATCTGTGCACCGTGTGTGTGTGTGTGTGTGTGTGTGTGTGTGTGTGTGTGTGTGTGTGTGTGTGGTGTTTGTGGAGGTGAGAAAAGGCATCAGAAATGACTGTGAGCCACCATGTGGGTGCTAGGAAGAGAACCAGGGTCCTCTGGAAGAGCAGCCAGTGCTCTGTGCTGAGCAGCTCCCCAGCCCTCTCCACCGGTGTACCTGATCAATCTGAGTCTATCCGGCCAGGCTCATACCACATCTATGCAGACCAGTGCTTATGTAAATGCTCTCACTCCTCAGGTGGCAGCATCCAGCCTTGCCCTTGTTGGAAATCCCACCTCAAATCTACAAGGTTTCCTCCCTACCCCCATCCTAAGCTGGCTAGAGAACATGAGAAAGGCTCTAGCTGTTCCCACCCTGAATGCCTTTTCTCCATTCTCACCACTCACAAGTACCAAGTTCTTTCAGGGTTTCCTTTTTAATTATCTGTTTAGAAAAATACTTTTTAAAGTTTGAATTTTTACCTTCACTGATCTTGTGTGCTCCTGCCACACCACACATACATTGTGTAGAGGAATGAAAACAATTGTGGGGGTTGGTTCTCCCCTTTCATCAAGTGTGTCGGAGGAATTGAATGCAGGCTACCAGGTTTGGCAGCAAGCACCTTTACCCACTAAGCCCTCTCACAGATCCCTAAGAACGTATCTAAGAATAGCAGGATGTGGGCAGAACACAGCTCGTAGGCCAGGCAGCCCAACAGCAGCGACCAGAACACACTGTGAGCTCTGCCCCAAGCCCATCCTACCAGCTATCATATTATACCGCCAGGACTGGCAACTAAAGAGTTCATCACACCTGTCTCTTGTTCTGTGGTGTTGAACATTTTTTCCCCTTGGGGGTGGGTGGGCACAAAACACACTCTGAACCACCGTATTATTCTATGTTAAAACACACATAACTCAAGGTACAGTAAAACATGTAAGCAGGCCAGCACAGGGGCAGGCCACCTTCACCCCTCTCTTCTCCACAGGGACAGCAATGGCCTGTCTTCAAGCAGCATCCAATCTCCCCCTGCGCTGGAGATGCTCTACCATGGAGCCATGCTGCACCCCTGAACTCAGGTTGGGGGGCTGTGTCTGAAACAGTCTCCCCACAAAGGTAAGGATGTATGTCGTCCCAGTTACCTGACCTTAAGCTTGCAGTGATCCTCCTGCCTCTTCCTCCTGGGTCACGGGACTAAGTCAGGAAGCCCGGCTGGAACCTCAGCTCACTTCCTGTGAACACCAAGCCCTGGGGTCTTGTGCACTTCTGTTTTCACTTCACCCTGTGGACAGCTGGTCCCATGCATTCACCACCAGCTCTGACAGCTGGGGCAAGTGGCATTTTGTTATTGTAGCTCGTCCCTTCAAGGAACAAGCAACCACTTTTTCCTTCTCACCTTGGAGTAGTATGGAATGTTCCTAGCTATGCTGCTTGGCCTTACCTCCACTAGAATAAACTCTGTGGGGCTGCTGAATTTAACTCCCTTACTAATGCGTATATGTGTGGAAGCCAGAGTGTCCTGCTCTCTATCCAAGTCAGCTGGACTACACAGTGAGTTCCAGGCCAGCCAAAACTATATATAACATCTCACATAAATAAAACTAAAAACATGAAAATCCTTGTTAGTTTCTTTTCCACTATAAGGCACCATGAGAAAGCACAAATGAAGAAAGAGTTGCCTTTGGCTACAGAGGGGTCCATCTCAGCAGGGAAGCATGGCCGCAGGGCAGGCAGGTAAGCTAGGTGGGTGGGTGGATGCTGGTAATGACCATAGACAGATGGACACACAGACTCAAATCTCAAAGCTCTCTGCAATGACAAACTGCTTCCGGAAAGGCCACACCTCTTCAACTCCCCAAACAAGTAGCAGCACCTAGGTACCAAGTGCTCAAATGCCCGAGCCTGTGGGGACATTCCCACTCAAACCATCATAGAATCCACGCAGGCTTCTTCAGATGTTTTCCCTAAGCATGAAACCAAGCCTAAACACAACCCTCAAAGCAGAGCACAGTGCAAGGCTGTGTTCAGGACACCTGGCCTGTATCCCCAGTCATGTTCCCCCGCCAGTGGTACCTGAGACAGAGCCTCTCCACACAGGCCTAGCTGGCCTGGAACTCCATATGTGGACCAGGCTGCTCTTGAGCAGGACCCACAGAGATCCTAGTGCTGGGATGGCACAATCACACCCACCTCCAGCCACGCTATCCTCTACAGAGGGGTTCACCTGCCTTCTTAAGATTCTGCAAACCCTACCATGGAGGAACACTGAGATAACCTGAGATAGACCTTTCTAGAATTTCAAAACACTACTGAGTTCATGTGTGAAACAAGGTACCAATTCTCAGCCAATCTTGATCAAAACCCAATGACAGGTACTTGAGAACTCAGTGCTACTTACAAAGCAGCCTGTGTGGCAAGGAACTAAGAGACAGGAAAGAAAGAACAGACCCCGTCCTGTGGCCACAACACGATTGCTGGGGAACAATCACACACATGTAAAATACACTCAAAGTCGAAAGCAGACCTATCAAGTGCTGCACAGCCCCAGATAAAGTCAGCTCCTCCAAAGCAAGTGGGGACTGCAAGAGTACGCAGCTTCAGTGCTACTTTAATGAAGTTCTAGAATGAGCCAAGACCCTGGGGGTGGTTGGCACCCCAAAGTCTTGTGACACGGAGGAGCAACCTTTCTAAAATGCTCTGTTTTTTTTTTTTTTTCCATTTACACCCTCACACAGTATGCAGAATTAACTATATACACTAAGCTATCAAGAGTATAAACAGCCCATCTATATCGCCTGGTCACAAGGCTCGGGCCTTCCTTGCTCAGAGAAGTGAGCTCCTGTCAATCACAGTGCAGTCCCTCTGACGCCACAGCCACAGCAGACAGGCAGCACACACAACACAGTGCACAGACCCAGCCACAGTAGCCTAGGCAATCCAAAGAATGCCTACACCCTTACAACTCAACAGAGACAACCACTGAAGGCAGGCAAGGGTGGGGAAGAATGCGTTACACAGGTGGCCAGATCTCACACACCAAGGAGTCAAAGGCCAGAGGACTAGGACTTCAGGGTCACCCTGAACCATATCACTAGGTGGAGGCCAGCCTGGGCTATAGCAAGTTCTCTGTCAGCACCTACTTTGGAATGACAAAGTCTCCCTTTAGTGAGTTCACAAAAATATACATTCTATACCAGATGTGGTGGTAGGCACCTACCATCCTAGCTAGCTGGGAGGCTGAGGCACAAAGAGCACCCAAGCCCAGAGGTTCAAGACCAGAGTGGAGTCACAGCCAGAATCCTGGTAATAGTGAATTTTCAAGAAGTGCATCCCCACCTCAGGGTGACAGAGTGACAGCTAACGGACAAATGTCAGCCTGCTCAAACAGAATGAGGCCCAGGACTAGTAAGACAACAGCAGGTGTGGTTTGAATGAGAATGGCCCCCACTGGATCATAGATTTTTAAAGCTCAGTCCCCACTTAGTGGAACTGTCTGGGGACGATTAGGGGTGTGGCCACGTTGGAAGAGGTGTGTCACTGAGGGAGCAGGCTCACTGTTCAGTGCCATGCCTGTCTCTTCCCACTATGATTACGGACTAAGCCTATGAAACTGTAAGCCAGTCCCAAATTAAACATTTTCCCTTATAAGAATTGCTGTAGTCACAGTGTCTCTTCACAGCAATAAAAAAATAACTAAGACAGTGGGTAAAGGTGGCTGCTAACAACCCTGACAACCCAAGTTCAAGCCCTGTGACCCACATGACAGAGGGAAACAACACACTCCCAAGAGCTATCTCTCGACCTCCCATGCACAAAAAAAAGTATGTATATAAAAAGAACGGGGGAGGGGAGGCTGGAGAACTGGCTCAGTGGTTCAGAGCACATAGTGTTCCTGCAGGGAACTTGAGTGCAGTTTCTGGCATCCACATCCTAGGGAAGGATGTGATGCCATCTTATGGCCCTCTGTGGGCACTGAGATCTGGCATACTGCCCCCATATACACACTAATTTAAAAATACAATCTTAGTGGGACAGCGGTGATGCACGCTTTTAATCCCAGCACTCAGGATGCATAGGCAGGCGGATCTCTGAGTTCCAGACCAACCTGGTCTACACATTCTGAGTTCTAAAACATCCAGGGTTAGGTAGCGAGAGCCTATCTCGAAACAAACAGAACTAAGTTAATTCATTCATAGCATCAACCCATGGTTTTGTAAACTTTTTATTTTTGCTTATTGCTTATGTGTCTGCCACATGTGCACGATGTTCACTGAGCCAGAATAAGCATCAGGTCCCTGCACCGACAGACAACTGTGGGCCACCTGATGTGGGTGTTGGGCACCAAGTCAGGCCCTCTGCAAGAGCTCTTTACATAAACGGAGTCAGTTCTCCAGCCCCTTGATTTCTTTTTTTTCCTTTTTCTTTTTTTTTTTTTTTTTTTTTTTTGAGACAATGTTATCCAAGCTGGCCACAAATTGTGGCAATCACTCTGTCTCTACCTCAGTGAACCTTTATTTTGGATGGTATTGAAGCCAAGACCCAGAGCCTTGGGAATGCTAGGCAAGTGCTGTCCACTATGCCACAGAACCAGTTGGAGAGATGACCCTGCCACGCTGAGGGAAGTAACAAACATTAAGGACTTCCCAGAACAAGACCGATTTGTGTGCAGTGCGTGTGGTATGCATGCTTTAGAGGCCGAGCAGTGGTGCCTTCCTCTATCACTCTGTAGCTATTCCCTTATGAGAGTGTCTACCACTTACTCTGAAGCTGGGCTGGCCAGCAGGTGCGCTCCTGGGATCACCCTGTGTCAACTCCCAATCTCTAGGGTTACATACCTGGCTTAAAGAGGGCCGGCACTGAGGCCTCTGACTCATACTTGCATGGCAGCACTCTCACTTACTGTGCTGGTGCCCCAGGCCACTACCAGTTTTTTGTTTTGAGACAGGGTCCCAACTGTGGCGTTCTTCTGGGCCTGAAACCTGCTGTGTAGACCTGGCAGACCTTGAACTTGGAGATCCTCCTGCCTCTGCACCACCACACTCTGTACTAGTGTCTTTTTTATTTTCAGGTTTTTGTTTTGTTTTTTTCTTTTTAAAGATTTACTTATTTATTTTGTATACAGTGCTCTACCTGCATGTGTGCCTGCACCCCAGAAGGGGGCATCAGATCTCATTACAGATGGTTGTGAGCCACCATGTGGTTGCTGGGGATTGAACTCAGGACCTCTGGAAGAGCAGCCAGTGCTCTTAACCTCTGAGTCCTCTCTCCAGCCCTATTTTCAGGTTTTAAGGAAAGCATGTGCGTGAAAGTACATGCACATCTATCTATTTTCTGGTGACCTGACACACAGGAAGGCGGGTACACCCCACTGTGTCAGCTCCGACTGAGAAGGAATGTCAACTTTGCACTTAACTCATACACCTGGTAAAACATCAGAACTAGTTTCATTTTTATTCAAACGGCAGAAAGCAAGTAAAATAGGAGACCCTGGGGACACCCCAGGCAGTGCCATCTAAAGTAATTTCTTATAGGCAGGCCAAAGAAGCACCTTGGGCCAGAGTGGAGCATCTTCAGCACCAGCTCACAGGGGCAGCACGGCTACTACTGGGACAGCCCAGCCCTACCCTACCAGCTAACAACTCGACCTCAAAGTGACCAAGACATCATCCCAGCAGCCTCAACCCACCTGATTCTGTCAAGTTCCTCGAACTCAAATTTCAGAAAGATAAGTCAGTGCCAAGGACAAACACAAGACAAGGTAGGTGACTGGTAGGGAAGTGCCCACAGGCTGGAGAAAGCAATCATGAGGAGAGGTGGGGCAGAAGTGGGGGGCTGCTCTGCATTTTTTAATGAACCATGTCTGTGGTGGTCTAGTAGTACAGGGGTCTTACTTTCTGGATGTTGAGGCAATGAGAGGCTCTACGTGAAGCTGAAAGACCATACCTCAATCCATCCCCACTGTATGCTCAGGTAGGTCCTGTGTGACAGAGAGGACAGCGGGCAAGCAGGTAGGGATTCCTGAAGGCTCTGAACCCACAGGGCATCAACGGCATTGACACAGTGGCCCAGAGGCTCCGTACCTTTGCTGGGCCTCTTAGGCATCTTCTTGTTGCCTTCCGAGGTGACTTCAATTTCATCAGGATTCCCACCTTCATCTTCAATGGCCTGAAGGGACAGCAGGAGAAAGGCTGACCAATAAAACCGCAGGCAGTGAGGCAGACCCCACAGCTTGAAGCAGACAGGAGGCTCACCTGAGCGTGGACTTTGAGCAGCCTGTTCAACCCAGGAGTGCCCAGCTCCAAGCCAACCACAAAAAAACACCCCATGCCCAAGCTGGTTCTCAGGAGGTAGGAGACTAGCTGCTGCCATCCTGCCCTACAAACAGCTGTTCTGCTGCACATGGGGGTTGTGGCAAGGGGGCCCTGGCACCAGCACCTGATGGCTTTTCTTTTCTTTTTCGGTTTTTCGAGACAGGAGTTTTCTGTGTAATAGAGCCCTGGATGTCCTGGACTCTGCTTTGTAGATCAGGCTGGCCTTGAACTCAGAGATCCACTTGCCTCTGCTTTCTGGGAGCTAGGATTAAAGGCATGCACCACCACTCCCAGCCATCTGATGGCTTTTCCAAGGGAATGCAGCTGTTTTACTTTCTCATTTTTCTTTTTCCTAGTCCCTCAAAACGAGCTCTCTCCCTGAATGTGGGACAAGGCTGGCAGCCAGTAACTTCCTAGGGTCATAGGTGCATGTAGCTAAGCCCAGCTTTCTATAGGGGTCCTAGGGATTTGAACTCAGGTCTTTATGCCTATGTTCCGAGTGCTTGAAATTCCCAGCAAGCACTTGACCCCTAATAACAGCAGCCAGCATGGCTGCAAGACTGTCTCGGAGACTCCTTGAGTGATGAAGCCAACTGCTTAGAGCTTCGGACTCTTCAACCTCATGTGTCCCCGAGGGAAGACACTCCAACTTCCTTGGCATAACCCTAATGGCTCCCAGACAATGCCTGCCCACAAGACACACTGACCTAACCTATTCTGTGTGTGTGTGTGTGTGTGTGTGTGTGTGTGTGTAAGGGGATATGTGGGGGGGGAGGGACAGGGAGAGAAAGAGACTGACAGACAGAGACAGAGAGGAAAGGTGGTAGGGCTCGTGAGACCTTGCTGTCCCTTCCTGAGACTTGTAGTAGGACTCCCTAGAAGTCCCATTTCACACTCAAGGATGTCATTTGCTGAGCAGTGGCCCAGCTCAGCAAGGGCCACAAGCATCTCATGTACATCACTACCAACTGTGTCTATTATGACCCTCTGGGCTCTGGGGCCCCTTTCTCGTCGAAGCCCTGTCGGCACTGCCCCGGGGAATGAAAGGAGACACCTTTCTGCAGCACGCCTCTTATCCTGGGAATGTTTGAAAGTTGACTGTCCCTGACAGAAGGCACCAGCAGTGCCCTCACAACTCCAAGCTCAGGCAACTCTTCCCAGACCCCCAGGGGCTTCCTGTGGTGCAGAAGGGCACAGAAAAGGTGGTGGTGGGGGACCAGAGACAAGTGCCACCAGCAGCCCCTGTCCTTTCCCTTGGGATAGTCAGCTTTCAAACATCCCCAGGGTGAGGGACATGCTGTAGGAAGGTATCTCATTTCATCCCTGGGGGGAAGGGTGTTACAGGGCTGCCCCTCCCAGGCCACCTCAGAAAACCCCCACCACCAGCTGCTCCTTTACCACCTCCTTCCCCTACCCTGTTAAAAACAAAACAGGAGATGGCCACCAGCTGGGAGACAGCGGGCAGAAAGACTGCAGGCCTGCCCTTAGATATGACAAACATACAGGGTGTGTGTGGAGCTCAGACCAGGGCTTCTCTGTACTCCTAAAGAAGACAATAAGGACGGTGTCCAGAAGGCCACCCTCAGCTTCTAGGTTTGAAAAAGAGCTTGGTGCTAACAAGGCCTCTGGGTGCTCCATCGGCAGGCTGGGCATCACCTTGGCCACCCCCCCCCCCACCCTGCCTGTAGGTGCCAGCAGTGTGAGAACTTCTGGCCTATTCAACTAAAGATACAAAGCCCACAAAGAATGGAAAGGCAGCAGGCTGGGGTTCAGTAGGTAGGGTGCCCACCCAGGCCTCTACCCCCTGCACCTCCTCTCATGTGCATGTTGGCAGGGTGGAGGCTGGAAGGCAAACCTCATCTGCCCTTAAGGCACCATCCACCTTGTCTTATGGACTTGGCTTGACTAGGCACCCAGTGAGCCTCCAGGATCCTGGCTCTTTGAGCACTGAGATTGTGACTGGCACACCATCTGGCCTTTTTTGTGGGTGCTGGGGACAGAACTCAGGCCCTCATATTCCAGTTTGTCGCCACCCCCACCCCATCTTCTCTGAACAGCAAATGATTTGGCATTTTAAGTGGATACAGGAGAGTGTAACACATTTCCAGCTGTGTGAGGGGGCAAGTGGGCAGGTGGCAGTGTCCAAAAGGCAGAGAAGACACCTTCCCAAGGTGTAAAAGACACACACACACACACACACACACACACACACACACACACACAGTCCCCATCTACAAATGACAAAAGGTGGCCCTGGGAGACCGAGTTTGTTTACCAGCACCAGGCTGCAGGCCAAGCCCATGTCCACATGACACCTGCCCTACCCTAAAGGTGAACAGCTACCACTTTGACCTGAGAGAGTGACTCAGAAGGGATTAAAAGTCTTCCAGACAGAGGGTCTGGCCACCAAGGAGGACAACAGAGAAGAGCCCCAGTACCTGCCTCAGGGTGCAGGCTGAGGTTTGGACTCCCACCTGAGCAAAGAACAGCGGGTGGGTGCGCTACAGCAAGGGTGTGCGGACGACTCCAAAGGCCTCTGCAGTGTTGGGCATGTTACTACTGACCTATATTCCCAGTTTTGCCAGACAGGGTCTCATGCATCCCAAGATGGCCTCAAACTTCTAAATCTGTTCACTCCCAGCCTTAGGGAGTATTTGGGGCAGAGCTCTGTGAAGGCAAGGCAAGCGCTCTACAAATGAGTAGCCGTGGCCCCAACTTTATATTTTGAAATAGGCTTTTTAAGTTGCCCAACTTTGCCTCAGCCCCCCACCCTCGCCCCACAATCCGGGATGATCTTGACACCTTCTAGCTAGCCCTGAACTCTGCTACTCAGGTTGGTCCTAAACTCCATTTGTAGCCCGGGTTGGCCTTAACTCACGTCTCTAACTTACCTTTATCACAGAAAAAGTCTTTCTTCCCATCACATACCTTCCCTAGCTTTGTCCTGGCAAGGAGTTAAAAACAGTTTCTCGGTTTTTGTTTTTCTCACTGCCTGGGCTACCTCCTCCGGATGCCTATGAACTCTGGGGGTGCCTGGGGTCGGCTCCCCACGGGTCACTGTGTCTTCTCACAAACTAAAAACCAACCAACCACTTGTTCTGCCTCGGGGCAGAAAAGGGACCTGGGGTCGAATCCCGCCACAAGCTGACCCTGCTGGGTGACCTTGGCCGAGGCCCCATCCATCCCCCTTTGGGGTGGGGACTAAGCCACACACAGAACGCGACGTCACCGATCCCCGAAACCCGTTTGCGGTGGTAGTTCCTTCTGCTCGCATGCCTGCGGCGTAGGGATACGAGCTCTCGTCACCGGAGGCCGCGGAGGCCGAGAGGAAGCGCGCGGGGCGCAGGCCACGGGCCGCCCGGCCCCGGCGGTGGGCGTCGCCATGGCGACCGCGGGGCGCCCCGCGAACCTCACCTTCCTAAGCCGCTCCATCAGCACGCTCTTGTTGCCGCTCGAATCGAGGTTCCGCTTCCGCAGCTCCGCCCGCAGGTCGATCACCCGCAGGTCGCTGAGCCGCCGCGTCCCGGTCTCCGACGCCGCGGAGCTCACGGCCGCCGCGCCCGCCGCACCCGCGTCTCCTAAACCCGACAGAGTCTCCGCCATTCCAGGGACCCTGGTTCCGTCGCCCACTTCACACAGAACCGGGTCGGTGGGTTTGCGTGTGTGTGTTTTTTGGATTTATTATTATTATTTTTTTGAATCTCGGCTCTCTTACCACAAAATGGCGCCGCCTGAGAGGGAACCGCTCCAGCCTCCCGAGGCGCACCTCGTCACTGCGCAGGCGCTGCCGGCGCGAGAGAGACCGACGCTCTCAGACGCCTCTGCACAAGCGCTGTGAGCGCGCCTCGCCGGGTCGCCCTCGGCTACAGACCGTGACGCATGCGTGCTGCAAGTCCTGCGCCTGCGCGTTGAGGCGAAGGAGTGTGGGGGGGAAACAGGTCGGCGTCGGAGCAGCGGCTGCAGAGCGGTGCGCGTGCGCAGCCGGGAAGCGGAGCAAGGCGCAAACTGGAGTGTAGGACGGTTCAAAGCGGTGCGCATGCGCATCAAAAAAAAAAAAGACTGAGGCGGCTCTTGAGACGGGTTGCTCACGTGCTACAAGGGAACCGAGGCTAGAGAACGCTTAGCCGTGCGACCCTGGAGTTGCGTCAAAGCTGCGCGCCTGCGCAACCGCAAAGGGAGGCGGGAGGAAGTGAGTGCGTTTTCCTCTTAGGCGACGCCATTTTGTGCTCAGAGCCGCCACAGCCGCGGGCGGCGAGTGTATGAGGTTCCGGAGCGGGAGGGGAAGTCGCGGAAGCGAGAATGGCTGAGCCTATGACGGGGTCAGGCGAGCCCGGCTGTGGTCCGGTGGCCTCGGATGCAGGGACGCGGCGGCTCAGTGACTTGCGGGTGATCGACCTGAGGGCGGAGCTGAAGAAGCGGAACCTGGATACGGGCGGCAACAAGAGTGTGTTGATGGAGCGGCTGAAGAAGGTGAGGGGATCGGGTTGACGGCGGGACCCGGAGCCTCCCAGGCTGGGTGACCTTGGCCAGCCGCTGCGCCTCTCAGGGTCTTGCTTTCCATTTGCCCAAGGGTTTGCACGCAGTGAGGCCTTGTTGAATGGCACGGTGGTCCTAGGCACGTCTCCGTGACCTTGCAATCTGCAGCTCTCTTCCCTCCGCCGCCTCAGTTTACTCGGCTGAAGAATTTGCCAGTCGCCCCACGATTGGCTCTGCCCAGGGCCTCTGCACAGTCCATGCCCATTCCCAGCTTGGGTCCCCTCGCGCTTTCCTGGCCTGGAGCCTAGTTGTCATCTTGAGTCGGCGTGAGATGTCACCTCTCTGCTCCTCTCTCTCTTGTCCAGTGCACTTTAGCGCTTGACACCAAATTGCCTGTGTGGAACAGGGTCCTTGAGGGCTAGGGCCTTCTGATTGGCTGCAAGAGGAAGGCGCCAGAATACTTGGAGTGAAAATTTACTAAGCTCACTTCCTTCCCAACCTACGTTCTGATTTTTCGCATCAAAAGTCAGCAACAGCCCCACCCACCTTTATTTTGGAGATCTCCTGTAGCCCATTCTGGCTTCAGACTTTTTGTGTAGCCCAGGCTAGCCTTGAGCTCCTGCTCTCCTGTCCCCCCTTTCACCTCCCAAATGCTGGAATTACAGTGCACTCTTGTGGCAAGCTAATGATAGCCTTTTGAACTCCGCTCAGCCCTTTGCCCTGCCTGAATCAAGGACTGGTTTCCTGGCATTGCCCCTGGGTTTGACGGGGGACGGTGGGAACATAACTCGCACAATCACCAACCTGATTGGAGGGTAATCCTTGGATTTTATTTATTTTTACCTGTGCTGGGGATTATATCTAGGGCTATATGCCACCAGGGAGTGTGTGACCACAACCTGCTGAATCTGATTCTTCAGTCCAGGCTTTCAGCCTCCCTTTCTCTAGGTATTCCCCTTTCTTGCACGGGAAAGGGGAACCTGTCTGTGCTGGGTGAGGCCTGAAGCTAGATTATGAACAGTGCTGTCTGCACGATGGCTTTACCTTCCTTAAGTGTTGCTACTAGGAAAGAACAGCTTGTCAGGCCCTCTTAATAACATTGAAAAATCTGTTTCCCATCAGGCAGTTAAGGAGGAAGGACAAGAACCTGAGGAGGTCAGCATCAGCTGTGGAGCCACGAGCAAGAGAGCTGTAAAGAGATGCACCAAAGGTACCCACCTGTGCCCAATGCTAGGCCCGGGGAACGGGTGTCCGGACCAACGACTGTGGACTGTATGTGTGCGGTATGCGTAGTTTCACATGCACGTGTGTGCGGTACCCACAGAGGCCAGAAGCAGGTCTTGGGTCCCTTAGAACTAGAGTCAGGATTGGCTGTGAGCCTACATATGGGTGCGGAGAGCTCAGTCCTGTCCTGTACAACAGCAGCCAGTGCTCTTAACCATTGAACCATGTGCGCAGGCTACCTAGTGGTCTGGCCTGCACTGACCTGTGAATCCTGAGGTCCTCCATCTCCAGCCCCAGCACTAGGATCACAAGTGCCCTTATGTCCAGCCCCTCATGAGGTGCTGGGATTGAACCTCAGCCCTGAAGCTCTTGCATGGCAAGTGTTTTGGCAGCTGAGCTGTCTGTCCTTGCCCTGAAATTTTACCAGTGGCTTCAAGAAGGACAGCTTTTCCTCAGCACTCCAGGCTGAGTCAAGAGGATGCCAGTTCCAGGTTGGCCTGGCCCCATGAGAGCCCTATTGAAAAGCAATGAGGGCTGATTAAAGGGCTCCACTACTGAAGGTGCTTGCTGCTCTCTGCGGAGCTGTTCGATCCTTGAGACCCACAAGGTGGAAAGAAACAACTGGCTCCCAAAAGTTGACATCTGACCTCCATATGCACACTGAGGCGCACACATGCCTGTGCTCACAGTGACCATCATATGGTAATTTTGTTTTTTAAAGCCATGGCCTGGAGGCTTATTGCAACCCTGGCTGCTTGTGTTGCCAACACTTGCCTGACCTGACTCAGGCATATCAGATCAATGGGCAGAATTGTCGGCTGAGCCTGGGGGTAGGGGCAGCTGTCTGTCGCTGTTGGGAGGGTGCCTCCTTGGGCAGAGCTGTGCCTATCCACCTCTGGAGTGTGGTGTTTGGTGTAATGTGCTGGCCCATGGCTTTGATGCCAGTCACAGGCTCTTTGGTGGCAGGAGTGAAGTTGACCCAGTTGTTCTCTGAGCACCACTTTCTGGCAAAGTGGGGGAAGTTCCAGGGATGTCATAGCCACTGCCTCTTGCGAGTGGGAGTAGCTTCGACAAGGGTTTGCCCAGCATGTAGGAAGCCCTGCATGTGTCCTGGAGCCTTAGATACAGGGGTAATCACTGCATGCTTAATGGCCCTGACCCACACACGCCTACGATTCATGTTGGATTGACTAGTGAAAATTTCCCTTGGGCCAGTGTTTAGCAACCATCAGTGTGTCTTGTTATGTCCCATGAAGGTACTACATGCCCCCACAGAGGGCCTGAGTATTCAGAGCTCCTGCTCTCCAGCTGAACTGCTCTGCATACCATAGAGGTTATTTGGTCCTGAGAATTGAACCAAGCAATGCCCAGCCACTGAGCTATGGTTTTGGCCTGTGTTTAGATTGTTAGTCAAAAGACTTGAGGGCTCTTAAAAGTTGAGGTTTCTTTTTGTGTCAGTGTGGATTGGTGTGCACATAGATATGGAGGTCCAAGGCCAACAATGAGCTGATTCTTTGTTATTCGTGTTATCTCCTGGGATAGGTTGTCACTGGCCTGGAGCCTGCTGATTGAGCCTGGCTGGTTGACCATCAATTCTAGGGAACCTCCTGCCTCCTCCTCCCCAGCATTCCTCAGATCACATCCACCTTGATTGTTCTGCTTTTTTTTCCATTTTATCTAGCATGCAAACATGTACCCATGAGGATGTGTACACCCTTGTAACACAGTGCAAGTGCAGAGATCAGAGAGCTTTTGCTGGGAGCTGGTTCTGTCCACCATGTGTGATCCAGGAGTCACACTCAGGTCACCAGGCTTGGCAGCAACTATTTTACTCACTGAACAATGCTGTCTCTTTTGTTTTTTGTTTTAACATTTCTGTGAGAGTGTTGGCTCACGTGTGGTATGGACAGCTTTATACACTCGATTTCTGAGGATGGAACTTGGCCATTTGATTCCAGAGGTAGAGGTGGTAATGACGGATGGCATGGCAGCAGGCAGCTGGGTCATGAAGCTGGGTTCACACTTTCATTCATACACAGGAAGCAGAAAGAACAGAGGGGAGTGAGGCTCTCAGAGCCTTCTCACAGTGACAGACAGCCTTTACCAAGAATCCACTTCCTGGAGCAGCAGTTCCCATCTGTGGATTATGGCCCCTTTACGATCAAACGACCCTTTCCCGGGTGTCATCTAAGACCATCAGAAAATACAGGTATCTACATTAGGACTCATAACAGTGGCAAAATTGTAATTATGAAGTAGCAACAAAAATAATTGTATACTTGGGGTCACCGCAACATGAGGAACTTAGGAAGGTTGAGAACCACTATCCTCAAGGGCCCATAATCTCCCCAAACAGCACAGTGAACCGCATACAAAGTATCCAAATACCTAACATTTGTCATCCAGGTCACACACAGCAAGCACTTTTATCAGCCTGGAGCTGCTGATTGAGCTGAACTCTCTGGCCAGAAAGCACCCAGCACTTCTGTCTGTACCTACCCAACCCTGGGATGCCAGTGCAGACCTCCCATACCCAGCATTTCGCACATGGGTGCTGGGGCCTGAGTTCAGAGTCCTTGTTAACCACAGCAGTCTTTCCAGACAGCTGTTCTTGTAATGGATGATGCTTGGCTTTCGTTTATAGTTTCATGACTTTCCCAGTATTCAGTTTTGGCAGTTACCTAGTGTGTTATCGTATGGAATCCAAAAAATAAAAGGATGACCGAAGGCCCCGGGTCATGAGCACCACTGTTTCCACTGTGGCAGCATTGAAGTCATGTGTGCTGCCAGGGGTGAAGTAGCCTGGGCATTACATGCTAGTTCTATCCCTCAGTGATGAGAACTGCAAGAGCTTTGGGTGTTGCTGGGTGCACACACCTGTACCCCCCACCGTAGGGAGAAGTGCACCTCAAAGCCAAGGATGTTGCTCTTCCCTCCCAGGTCTTGAGCCTTGAGTGACCCATAGTGGAGCGTTCTGTTCTCCTTGGTGCAGTTAGGACATCCTTTGCCCTAAAAGCAGTTGTGAAGCCAAGATTGCTCCATAAGCAGAGCTCTTGCCACAGAATCATGAGGGTGGGCCTGAGCTCGGATCCCTAGCACCCACAGGACACCAAGTGCACTGTGCATCCATACCCATAGTGCTGGGGAGCTGGACATCCTACAGTTCCTGGGGCTTGATGCTCCACCAGCCAGGCTGAGTCAGTGGGCTCCAGGCCTGTGAGAGCCTTACTGGGAGATAACGTGGCCAACAACTGAGGGAGATGTCCATTGCTGACCTCAGAACACCACATGCATCTGTGTATGTATGTATCACAAAAGATCAGTACTGAGATGCAGGTTGCAGAATGCAAGTAGACCCAGCAACAGTCCAGGGTGTTCCCAGACAGCACTGCATGTGTCCTGCACACCTGCCTACCCCAGCCAGCAGTGAAGTTCCCATTCTCAGGTGCTTGCTGACTGGTGTGATGGGGAGGCAGAAACAGGCAGCTCTCTGGGTCTACATAGCAAGTTCCAGACCAGCCCAACTTTTCCTGTCTTTTGAGGTGTTTAGTCTGGGGCAATTGTGAGAGTGCTTAAGGCTGTTTTATGCAGAGTCTGAGTGTGTGCTAGGGTGATTGAAGTCTTGTCTTAGGTAACCACTGAGACAGGATCCTCGCAATATGGACGAGTGGCTAACAACATGGAATTGTGTTGAATCCTGTCAACTGATTCTGAGGCCAGCTCTGCACTCTAACCCAACTGACACTGTTCTATAATTAGGACCCAAGATGGAGGAGGAGGAGGGCGGCGAGGACAACAGCCTGGAAGAAGATTCCAGAGATGGGCAGGTGTGTTGGGCCTGGGGACGGCACACCTTCCCACGCTCCATGGTCTTGGTGGCTGACACCCTCCCTCTCGTCACAGGATGGGGTTGTGATGCTGCAGAGCTCACAAGACAGGGACAGCATGAACACAGGTGTGCCAGATGGAACGGAGGCTGAGGACCTCAGTGAGCCCTGCCTGGGGGAGGGCAACACCAACGAGCACATCCCTCATGCCTTCGATGACAGTAAAGAGTACGTGGCCGCGCAGCTGGGACATCTTCCAGCTCAGCTCCTGGAGCATGCTGTAGGTAACTTGCAGCCACGCGTGTGCCAGCGGCCCCAGGGGCTCAGCGTCAGGGCTACCCAGGCCCTGGTAGAGCCAGACCCCGAGTTTAATCCCTCCACAGCCAGGTGCCGGTGGCCGCTGCTCCAGAATAGTGCAGGAGTGCTGTGGGCTCACAGGGGAGATGGGTGGGTGGGTGGCATGAAGGCTGCTTGTGTTATGAGGGCTTGTCTGTCGTCTGTCACCTGGTGGTGCTACTGTCAGCTCTGAAGGCCTGAAGCCAGCACAAGTCTGTCCTACGGGCACCTGCCATCCAGTGCAGGATGGCTTTGCATGACACTCACAGCTAGTTGATTCCATGTATCGTTATGGTTTTCTTCTTGCGGGGCTTGCAGAGATTCAGCCTCAGCCAAGGACAGGGGTTATGAATACCAGTGGGCTTTATATAAACTGGAGGACCTCCACTCAGCACAGTCTGAGTCCATGGCCTCAGGACAGGCTCTCTGGGCTGCAGGAATTATCCTGGATCTCAAGGCAAAGAGGGAAAGGCAACTCCCAAGTGGTCCTCTGAGCCCCACACACATCCTGAGCATCACACAGTAATAAAAAGTCAGAGTAGGATTGAAGCTGTGGAGCTGATGTGACACCTGGTGCGCTGTGAGGCTCCTGCACTGAGAAGTGGCCCGGAAAGTCACCGTCCTCGGCTGGGCAGACACAGCGATGGGTGTTGTAGAGTAGACATAGGTTGTGTGAGAAGCTGTGAGGTGCAGGCTGAAGTGCTGATGGCTCTGGCCTCCACGCACTCACGTTCTGATTCACGTTCCAGGTGAATGAAGATGTCTACAAGAACACTCTGGAAGCTTCCATGTCAGACCTTAAAGTAACTCTGGTGAGTGGTGTCTCCTTATGGCTCTTCAGTGTAGGAGACATTGATTTTCCAGAAGGGACTGTGAATGAGAGAGAGCGAGAGCGAGCATGGGTGCTGGCTGTTCATCCCGTGCAAGTTGGCTGAGGGCACTTGGGCAGCAGATATACCTTAGCTTACAGTTCCAAGAGCTTTAGTCCAACATCAGGTGACTATTGCTGTATGTCTGAGAGGAGGCAGAATACCATGGCAGTGGGACAGTGCCAAGGAGGCTGCTGCCCCTCATGGAGGCCAGCGAGCAGAGGGAGGAAGAGATGGTGCAGGTGCCGTCTTCCCCAGCCACTACCTTCCTATTGTCTGTTCACATTCACCAAAGGAAGAAACCATTGATGGGGCCAGAGCCCTGTACCCAGTGACCTCCAGCATCACAGTGTGGTACACATGCTAACCGGAGCCTGCATTTGGAGGCTAGCACATGGGGTGTGGAGGTATTGTGTGGTAGAACACACAGGACCAAAGGGCCAGGCAACTGGACTCTGTAAGTGCCTGGAAGGTTCTCAGGGAAATCTAGCCTTGGAGTTGGTGTGACTGAGGTCAAAAGATTTGGTATGGTTGTGGCACTTAAGCAGTAAGTGGCCCAGAGATGCCAGTGCTGGGCACTGTAAGGTCCAGGCCTGTGCAGGTGTGGCCGCTGTCCTGAATGAGCAGGCAGGCTTCCTTAAGTCCCGAGCTCACTAGAGAAGGGGGAGGTGACCCTGGCTTTGCCTTTCTTTGCCAGTGGATATTTGGTGGGGTGGGGTTCAGTCTCAGTCTGATGTGTAGGAGCTACAAGTAGCTCTGGGAAGCATCTCAGGGGATGAGGCCTTGTCACAGATCTGTGCATGGGACCATGGCTGTGCTATTTGGAGTGAAGTCTGTCCTTCTGTTCTCTCTCCATCAGGCTGATGAAGGAGCCCCCTTGGAACCAGGTACTGCTGAGACAGGCGCAACATTGTGGCTTGGCGCCCTGCTCTCGCGCTCAAGTCCTGTCTGTTCTCAAGCTGTGTTACAGTTTCATAAATCACCCCAGTGGTGGAACATCCCAATCGCACAGGGTCAGAGATTGGAAACCCACTATATCACCAGATCTGTGCGTGTGCTGTGGCAGCCCAAGGGCAGCCTTGGGGGCAGATGCACAGCTTGCATCAGGCCATGCAGAATGGCTATAAGTGGCCACCAGGTGAGGCTTTGTGTCCACATACGAGACAGATCTTGTGATACTATACCAAGCCAAAGATGGGGTTGAGGCAGGCTGAGGCTGTGATAGGGAACTTACCCAGAAGCCACTGCTGCCAGAAGACAAGTGGGTCTCTGCCAAGACGTTCCTCCTCACTGCCTCTCGACTGCCACGTTTCTGAAGGCGAAGAGCAGCTCCAGTAGCCTTGGACTGTGGTGCTGCCCACGACCCATCAAGCTGGGAGCAGCAAGCTCTTTGTTAAACGGTGACTGCTATGGCTTCAGCACCGTGGACTGGAAGTTGGAAGACACAGGTGTAACAGAACCCTGAAGAAAGCTGTGGAAGCTGCACCGTGGTTGTAGGGTAGAAGTATGGGGGGTCCCTGCCTCTGCCCTTAGCACAGGCTGGGGGCGCCATGGCCGTGGGCGCA